ATATATATGTATATATATATATATATATATATATATATATCGCTGTCCTCCTGTCACCAGCACTGGTTCCATTTAAATGTTGGGTTTATTGCTTCTTTGGTCTATGGGAAGAATACAGTTTTCCAAAGTTGCCCAACATCCGCCAGGTGCATTAATTCGATGGTAGATCTGGATGGTTCAATTGGTTAAGGGCGCGAATTTACTGACCGGAAGGTCCGTGGTTCTAAACCCGGTCTCCGCCTCTCAACTTCCCCTGTTTAGGCAACCAGCCTTTCTGGTGGCATGGAAGTTAGGCGCCAAAAGGGGGCTACAACTGAAAGGCGAGATTTGGAGTACAAAAATCCTATTCTCGAATCACCCATGCAGTTTTTGACGGGATGTTAAGTATTGTTGAGAAATGTACCTTCCAAGTAGCCCAAGCGTCTTCAGATGTATTGAGAATTCTGGCAGTTCCGTCGTCCCAGATGCACTGGATACACTGTCTCCAACATCTATTTCTTGCTACCTCACGCAGTTGACCTCTAGTCATCTACGGCGGCTAATCTTTGAAGCACCATAGCTGAACAGCAAACTAAAGTCTGCCAGAGAAGATGGATTAACTACCGAAGTGTTCTGGCTGCTGAAACCACTAGTGGAACACGGTGTTTTTCACTCAACTTTGATGACTAAAGATGTCCAACAAGGGTTCAGAGAGGCCACAGTCATATCAGTATTCAAGGAAAGCCGTCAGAAAATGGATAACAATCGAGAAATCACTATTCTCCGCACTATGGACACATATTCTTACGGACAAGGACCAGTATTTTGGAAGAAAATGTATGTGAAGAATCATGCTGACTTTGAAACGTACGCAGCACCTCATCTTGCGGCACACCAGCTGTCAGAAAAGTGCCGTGAACGGAGCTAACCGTTGAATGCCTTGTTCGTGGATTTCGCGAGAGCTTTTGAACGAGAAGGCCTTTTGAATTGTTCTTCAAAAGATCGGAAGAAAAATCGACATTACCTAATTCCATGACTATGATGGAGGGCACAATTATGTACCTGTGGAACCACTCCCATCAAGTTCGAAATTGGCTCAGAGGTGAAGTTAGGTTGCGTTCTGGTCCCTGGTTTGTTTAGTCTCCGTGACTACGATTGGTGCGGAAGCGTTTCTCGACTCCGAAGAGTCGATCCACTCCCATCTGAATGGTCCTCTCTTCAATTCGAAACTCTTCTGATCCAAAATTTAAGCTGCCCAAGTCAGAGATTGTGTACTACTCTGCGGAAAACTGTGCCTCACTTGCGCAGTCGGCAGCAAAAACATTTGCTTTGGTGGTATCTCGCTTGTAAACCTGTCCGGGATTCACATAGCCCGATATCCTCTATTCAGGTTAGTGACCGCGGCGTGTTGTGTTTTGGAAACTGCTTCCACGTCGGTAGTAACCTGCCTACGGACTTGGGTTGTGAAACCAGGCGCTGCATTTGGTCGTCCTTGTGTGCGCGTTTTTGGAAACGAAATTCTGCGTTTGTGCATCAAGGCCACAGTGTACCTAGCTTGTACTGTCTCCCTGGCTGCCAAATATGGACACTATCCGGCGACACACTAGCATGTTTTTGGCGGATTTTACTCACCATGCTCGTGCAGGATCATTCGGTAATAGACACCCCCGAGAAGACATTGTCATGTTATTATACATGAAGGGAATTGCGTTTAACTGATAGTATTTGACGAATGACACCAGCATCTTGGTTTAAAACATCCGGTGTGAGTGCTCACTGTGCTATTCCACCATGTATAGGCCGGATAGCGACTCTCAATGGACTGCCTATTTTCTTTCATACATGGGCATCTACTGCTTTCACGTAGCACCCGCGAACCGCTTTTTGCTTACTTGTTGTGCTCTGCTAACCGGCAGACCTATTTCGGATGCCTGCCAGTCGCATACGCATAACCTTCGCTTCGGATGACCTAAGCCCACAGACTGAACGCGATCTACTCCGCCTTATTGATGCTGATGTCAGGATGGTTAGGTATTCTACCGGAACATTGTTTCCGCATTTCTTTTGCAATATATTAGTGTCTATGAATAACGACTATCCACATTGGAAACAGCACAAGTTGGTGGAGGATGGAGTGCGCCCTGAAAATCAGACGGCTCGTTACATCTGATCCCTAGCTTTGAAGCTTACGAGATTGTGTTTTTCATGTTTCCCACCTTCTAGGTCGAATTTCAACTGCAATCGATAACTCGCTTTGTAACCCATCCTTTGAGTGCCATATTCAGACAAATGATTTAGAATTTCGTCATTAGGAGCGCCAGTAATTATTGTCAGTTCATTCAGGATGAATATGCTACATGAAGTGTAGACATAGTCTAGCCACTTGTCTGGTCGGTCATCCACCGCTTAAGTTTCATTTTTCGAGATTTGAGTGTTCGTTACCAAGCATAACATGGCAAAAAAACTAAAAATAATCGTTCAGCTGTAGCACCCTTTCGGTGCCTAGCTGCCATGTCACACGGAGAAGGCACGAGGGCTGGGATACTGCCAGGTTGCCCAGCCCTAGACAGGGTGAGAGGCAGAGGTCGGGTTCGAACCACGCACCTTTCGATCAGTAAATTCGCGCTCTAACCACGTGGTCCATCTCGCCGCATGACATGGTGCACAATATGATATACGTTTGTCGTGCGATTGATTGGTCCACGTTATTTCAACGTTTTGTCTTACTTAATGTGCGTTTTTTCTTGTGATTATATCACTGGCACAATATCTTGATCCTTAGCGAGCACAGTTGCACCTGTTTTCATCTCTCAGACTTCCCGGATCACAGCGACAGTGACGGGTCGGTCCTGTTAGGTAGCTAACTGTGTCAGATACACAGCTGATTGACACAGGTGCAACCCAGATTCTATTTTCGGTTTCATGAAACGCCTCGGCAATGTCCGACACAAATTTTATAGGTGCTGCAATATCCGTGCATCGCTGAAAACTCACAGTAGGGCGAAATCCTGGGCTTTATTCAAACTAAGCATGCAGAATCAGCTCACTTGCCCCAGGCTATTGTTTTAAACGTTTTTTCTTCCAGTCACTTGCCAGGGGATGACTTTAAACGATTAACCTCACACCTTGTTACTTCATATGGTTTGCCCCACAGCTGATATTCTGGGTCCAAAAGGATATTCTCAATGAAGAAATGCAATCAAAGCGTGCCGAAGTGCTTTCACACTTTATTCGGATCGCCAAGGTATGTCTGCTTACTGTGGTTTAGATTTGAAAATGTTTGTAACAGCGGGACTCCATTCCACTGTTTAGTTGTTCCATATGCGAGACACTTCCCCCCTCCGGCACACCGAAACATCAAAAAGCTTGTCAGTCTGTTAAAGGGCTTATTCTGAAGAATTCGTGGGACTTCTTAAGGTCTTTCCTCGCAGATATATTGACCCCAGTCCAATGCCGGCTGCTATGAAGTTAGCATCATGTTGTGCCGAGGGTTGTTTGGGCTCTTACCGTTACGTTCCAAACGTTTTGATTTCAATTGAAATGCATTCAAAACGGGAATCTGCGGTGCATTCCATCCTCAGAACTAGCTCAACTCACACATTTCTCTGGGTTACAGGGCCTAGCACTTGTTCAGCTCCTGGTGTGCGAAGTACACTTCCATAGGTGTGTTGAAGATCCCAGTAAATTCTGAGTTCTTCCCAAGAGCAGAGCATTGTCTCATCCGGAGCCAATCGAATCCTCTATCCCATGATTCTACCTCCCAGTTGTAGTTCAAGAGACTGCTTAAATGTCCGAGCATCCTGGAATGGTAGGTCGCAAAGCATTGCATTCGCTGGGCTTATCTATGTTGTAATGATCGATTTTAATTTTACGCCAGGAAGAAACTGTTGGGGATATCAATATCCCCCAATAAACGCTGTATTTTTATGTGTGCTAGCGAACTTCCGGCATCTTCAAGGTCAATCTATGAATA